CAGCCATAAACTTAATGCTGCCAAGTCCACCACTAACCCAGGTCCCCAGGCACCACGTCTACACGTCTTTTAAATACCTCCAGGGATGGGGACTCAGCCACTTCCCTGGGCAGCCTGTTCCAGAGCTTGACAACCCTTTTGGTAAAGAAATTTTTCCTAATATCCAATATATTAAAGCTATTAATTACATGCCTATATTCTGAAAGTTGCTTGCCTTAAAGAACCATTTCTTGTTCCCCCACTTCACAGGTGTTGAATGAATGCATTCAGTATATTCATAAGTATCTGAACATAATATTTCTCACTTCAGATGACCACGTGGTGATCTGTGTCACTGAATTGAGTAAAGGCTTTTGTAGCTAGTCCATGTTGCAATCAGTTATAGTTGAACTATGTGGTAATAGCAACTAGCGAATATTATTTAAAAGAGAAACAGTAGACTTCAGACTATGTGCTTTGTGTGTGAAGTCAAAACCTATTAACCACAGTAGGCTTTCTGTTATTTTGCTTGTTTTTAATATTCTGGTGTGTTCTACAGACATTGACACGCAGAGAGGGAGGGAGGTGTATGAAATTCCTTTTACTGAATACTACTTCCATAGTGAAATAATTGCTCTCAGCTTTTTAACCAGAAAAAATGTCTTTTAATCATTTATTTAAAAAACAAAAAAAGGCAGGCAAGGCATCTTGAGATAATTGGGAAAACACTGGGGTGAAGAGTACCAAAAATAATTTGTTTCTGAAAACCAGATTTGTTTGTTCGCTTTGTTTTGTTTAGTTGTTTCAGAAGCTTTTAAGTTATTTTAATGGTTATCTGGAGATGTCATAACTGTGCCTAAAGAGCATCCCTAACCTACATGAGTTTGAAGTAGTGCTGGGAAGTCCAGGTTGGCCCTCTCAGCAGACACAACCTTTTAGCTACTGGGAATGTGTCACCCTGTGAGCATTACAGTGCTTGTCCGATAGCCCTTGATGTAGACATGCCTGTCTCTGCTTCAGACTAGCCTCTTGTCCCAAGCTTGCATCTACAAATTGCACTTCCATGAAAGTAGGATGCTACTCCCAGCCTTTTGAGGAGGCAGACGTATATAAGCTGTGTTCAAGTGTTTGGTTCCTGCCCCTTCTAAACGTTAGAAAATAGAAGTCTAGTGTCATATTTGACCACCAGTTGGTCCTTTCATGACTTGCTATCTGCATTTTTTGTGTTACATAAGTCAGTTGCATTTTATGGGACTGCAGGATAGAGACAATGATGTCAAGTAAAGGACTCGTCAAGTAAAGGACTCGTTAGACAGGAAAGCTGGGAGTGTCAGCTCTCAGAATTCATTGTAGAATGGCATCGATGATGACCATAGGGCTTAAAGGAAACTTGCCAAATGGTGAGAGTACTTGAAGTTTGAGAAGAGATTAGTTTTAAAATATGTATTGGTTAAGCTTGCTAGCTTTCATCTCTTGAAGCAGTGTACGAACAGGAACTTCTGACGTACAGTCAAACAGAAGTCACCTCCCTCCCAGAGCAAGCCAGTTTCTTCTGTCAGCGTTGTTGCTTGTTGGCTGCTGGAGGAAAAAAGAGGACTGCTGCTGTGGGGAGAGCGTGACCTTATATTGTATTGAAGTACACATATAAGTACATTCTAATGGTGCAGCTTCACATTGCAGCTAATTAATCTGACAGCTAGTTACCTCTGTAAGAGGTGGTCATCACTCCCCTGCCTGTCACTGATGCTGGGCTCCTGCCTCCTTTATGTTGCTATTGCAGAAGACCAGTTCAGCGAGTTGAACACGCAGAAAACTAAGTTTAAAATCAGATAACTTATAGCTCCCCAAGACACTTCACTAAGGGAAAAAGAGAGGAGGAGTGAATCTCCCCTTTCGGCCATTAGATTAGCTGCAGTAAGAAATGTACCGTTAGGGTGGATTGCCATGGGCTCTAGGGTTGTGCTCCCATTGAAACAAATGGTCTTGCTGTTCCTACCCAGTTTCAGCCATAGCTGTGGCTGGATCTGATTCTGATTTGAAAGCAAGCTCAACTTCAGACAGTGTCTGCGCTGTGCCCACCAACACCCACGCCACCCCCTCAAACCCAAAACCCCAAACATAGCACAACACAAATAATCTGCAAATTCTGAACCTTGTTCAGCATGTTGTAATGCTCATGTAACCTCTACTATACAACTACTCTACTTGCAAACAAAGCCAGTTGAATCAGCAGGCTGATTTGTTTCGTCGCTCTGGCAGGAATAGGTGGAATCACATCTTTTGGCAGCAACAGGTAGTTTGATCAGTTTATGCTGACTGAGAAACAGGGAAGTTAGACTGAAACTGAAAAATAAAGTTTCAGTTTATTTAGTCAATTGTACACAACATTTCTCAGCATCTCTGCACAGTGCTGGAGCTGTAATGGTATAATTTACCTCTTTGAAACAAAACCGTAGTTTATCATGATTTTATATACCAGAGTTTTAGTGCATTTTTTTTGTTAAACTTTATTAGGATAGCT